GGCATCACCAGGGGGCGTGGCCTGGCCAAGCGCTGGCCGAACGGGCATGAAGCCCATCATGGTGGGGACAGTGGGGGACCAGCGCCCCCTTCCGGGAGGGCACCCCTTCGAGGCTGTGCTGAGCACAGATGGCCCCGCACACCCCCTTGGCCAGGGCCCAGGCTGGAGGGGCCCACGCTGTTGCATCAGCAGGCGGCCACGCGGGAGTGACCACAGGCAGGAGGTGCTGGGAGACCCATGGCGGGGACAGCTCCCCCGGGACCTGAGGACCAGACAGACAGACAGACAGACAGACGTGTGCCGATCCCCCAGGACTGTGGTCGCCGCATCAGAGCCCCAGTTTGATGTGGGGAGCCTGTGGCCCTGCCATCCCATGTCCCCTGCCCCGTTCCTTCTCCTCCTCCTCCTCCGATGAGAGGACCTGCAGGAGAGGGTGTCACACTGGGACCCAGCTCCTCCCGAGCACAGACAGGCTCTGGGGAGTCAGCGGGAGGCCGCGGCCTCGCCTCCCGGGCTCTGGATGCAGCGGAGCTGAGCCCCAGCCGCCAGCTGCCTGAGCGCCGAGCCCGAGGGCTGCCGGGCCTGGCCCCGCCCTGGCGCCCTCAGCGGTCAGCAGGCGGCAGGGGCGGCGCTGGGAGCGGTGCTCCCATTGCATCTGCCCCTGCAGCCGCGTGCAAACAGGTCTTACGTTCGTCCTGGGGAAGAAGTGGCATCGGCAGCGCCCACCTCCTCCGGCCCCTCCCCCACCCGCACTGCCCCCTCGGCGCACAGGCCTCTGGCCGGCCTGGCGGGGCCGGAGCCCCGGGAGCCGGGAGGCCTGTCCCGGGGTTCGGAGGACCGCCGTTTGCATCTGCTGTGCCGGGGTGCGGTGAGACCCACAAACGGTCCTGTGGAGTGTGAGGAGCAGCGTGCTGGCAGGTGACACGTTGGTGGACGCACTGACCCCGGAACCAAGGACGCCAGGTGCCGGTGCAGGAGGCCGAGGCCCGGGCCTCCATTTCTCCATCTGCTGGCAGGAGGGGGCCGTTCCCAACCTCCAGCGGGCAGGGCAGCTGGCAGGACCCGACAGACCTGGGGCTGCGGTCTGTGTGGTGGGCCTTGGGGGGCAGCGGGGGGCCGGCCCTGACCTGCCCCTGAGCACCAGGCGGCTGGCGGGGGGGGGAGGGAGCCTGGGGGCCGGCAGAGCTGCCTGCGGAGGAAGCCGGTGTGCGGCGGGCGCCAGGCTGGGCCGAGCGCGCCCGGAGATGTGTGTGTCCAGCGCGCTGGGCATTGTGTGTGCCCGTCTCTAATAAAGTCTGTGGTAACTGGCCCGGCCTCGCCTCTGGGCCTGCGCGGCGCCCGCCTGGGAGCGGGAGGCAGGTTGGACACCACTTCCCGGATGGCGTGGGCCCTGGGGGCTGGGGTTCGGGGTGAACCAGGGCTGCTTTTCCTGTGTGTCCCTTCGTGGTCCCTGGAGGCTGGGGCTGGAGTCCTGAGGAGCAGCCCCCAATGGCTATTTACTCGTAAGTCAATCTGAGGCTTAAAGGCAAACCGGCCCCTGAGCTTATTAAGTCAAAGCCAGGCCTGAGCGAGTGCCTGCGTGGGAGCCCCGCCCCCGGGGGTCCAGGCCCTGGTCGCCCGCGCCCCCCGTGGGTCTGGGGAGGGAGCACCAGGCCCCTCGGTGTCCTCGGCAGCAGGCACAGTCCTGCCGCCCAGGCCGCGGGACGTGGCCCCGGCTCTCCACGGGCCCAGGTGACAGCCTTGCCCAGCTCTGGCCCTTCCAGTGGCCCTTCCCCGCCAGATGCTGGTCTGGCCCGGCTCAGAGGCCTCCTGGGAAAACTCAGATTCAGTCACGGGTGCTCAGGGCCGACAGGTGCGTGTGGTTCAGCCAGCACAGAGCCAGAGGGAGGGAGGGGTGCCCGTGCAGGAGCAGCAGCACCCGGGGAAGGCCGGGCTCAGAGAGGGCAGCGCCGCCTCCCCCGCCGCCTGTGGCTCAGACCCTCAGGATGTGGGCGTCACGGTTACCGCGTCAGGGAGAAGCGGAGGCTCGGAGAGTCACGGCAGGTGCCGTCACTGGTGCGTGGCGGGCGGGGCAGGCGTGGACCCAGTTCTGGGGCTCACGTAGGGCTGAAGGGGGCGATCTGAGAGCCGAGTGGGGCCCTGTCACCGCCAGGCCCTGAGCTGGCCCAGTCTCAGCCCTCACTTTGGAAGCGAGGACAGCAGGTCCGTGTGGACCTCCTAGACGTGCCCGACCCTCCTCCTATGGCTTCCCAGGAGCCCCTCTCCCAGTGCTGAGGCGCCCCCTTTGCCCTGAGACCCAGCTGCAGGCGCCCCACCCTGCCCCCCTCCCCCGCCCCACTGCTGGAGGCCCTGGGTCTCGGGGTGTCAGTTGTCACCCCCCAGCTGCTCGAGTGGGGGGCTAATTCCAGGGAGGGGGACCCCGAGGCTCTGAGGACCAGGAAGGGCACTGGAAAACCCTCTTGGGGCCAGGTGCTCTGGGATACCTGGGAAAACCCTAAATTTGGCACCAAATCCCGCATCAGACTTGGCTCCAGGCACCTCCACTGGGTGCAGGCTGAGGCTGGGCTGAGGAATCAGTGGGCCATATGGGGGCCTCCTCGTGTCTCCCCCAAACTGGCCCCACCTCAAACCTGTGGCCAACCCTCTGCACTTCCGGAGGCCAGGGTTCCCGCTCCCAGCCCCAGGCCGTCCTCTCTGCAGAGCCTCACCCCGAGCCCCTCCCTCACAGCCCCGGAGCTTTTCTCCGGGCGGGGAAGTGCCCTCGGAGCTGACCCCACGCTCCCCTCCCCTCCGCAGCTGTCCCGGGACTCAGAGCACAGCGGGGAACGGAGGCCCAGGGGGCCATGTGTCTGGCCCAAGTCCTCACAGTGAGTTAGGGACTCACCCAGGCTGCACCCCATCTTTAACCCACACCCAGCGTCATGACCAGTGTGGGCGATCAAGTGACGGCACCACCCTACCCGCTCCGTGCACACACGTGTGCACACACGCATGCTCACACGCGGGCCAGCCCCTCCGAGCAGCCCCTCCCGCCCAGAGGTGCAGGCGCTGAGCCAGGCCCTGGGTCACGGGAGGACTCCCTGGGGCTGGAGCTGGGGCTCCCGGCCCCTTGCGCTCCCTCTCATGGGGCTCCCCCCTGCCTCAGCCTCTGGGCACCGGTGATTGTGGCACCTGCCAACTCCCTTAGCAACTCGCACCTGGCGAGTGGCACCGTCTGGGCTCCCGGTGCCTGGATCCCAGGAGCGGCCAGGCGGCAGGTGGCGGAGGGAGGCTTCTCCGGACAGCCGGGAGCTGACCGAGGCGGGGGGCCGGGAGCTGACCGAGGCGGGGGGCCGGGAGCTGACCGAGGCGGGGGGCCGGGTCGTTATGGGGGGCACCGACCCCGCCAGCAGGGCTCAGGGCCTGTGCCAGGTTCAGTCAATGCTGCCACCCACTCTCCGCCAACGAGGGGGCTCGTCACCGCTTCCCCATCCGGTCTTTCGTCAATGCCCCCCCCTCCCCACACACACACACAGCGTCCCCAACGGGATCCCAGGGCCAGGAATGCGTGGCCATCAGCGCGGCGGCCAGTCCGCAGCTACATAAGGCGGGGAGGCCGTCCCCGCACAGACCGGCAGCCGCTGGGAGCACCCGCACAGACCGGCAGCCGCTGGGAGCACCCGCACAGACCGGCAGCCGCTGGGAGCACCCGCACAGACCGGCAGTCGCTGGGAGCACTGCAGGGTGAGTACCCCCTGCTCCCAGGACCCCCGGGCCAGGCAGGGGGACGGGCCCTCACCCCACAGCTCTCACCTCACCCGGGGCTCCCTCCCAGGCTCTCCCTGCCACACCCCGGGTGGCAGTGTCCCAGCTTTCCACCTGGTCCTGAAAGGTTCATGATCCCAAAGCTGAGAGGGGCCACTCCCTTCTGAGGCCCAGGCCGCCCCACGCGGCCCCCTCTGCCATTCAGGCGCCTCCAGTTCCCGCGGCTGTGGGGAGCGGGGGTCCACCCAGGCCTGAGGGGCTCCCAGGCGGGCAGGGGGAGCCGAGGAGGGCTGCACGGTGCCTCCTGTGAGGATGCTGGCCTGGAGAGCGCGCCGGGAGCCGGGTGTCCTCTCCCCTCCGGCTCTTTCTTCCAGCCTCGGTCCTCAGAGAGCCAGCCACCCTGACTCCACGGTCATTACCAGAAGGGCTTCCTTTGCGAGGGGATGAGCAGTCACGGCTGAGGCAGGGGCCAGTCGGGAAGTTCTAATCGGGGTTCAGACCCCTCGTATCACCAGCCATGCAGCCGTTCCTCAGCCCAGTTAGAGGTGGGCTTGCCCCCCGCTGTCCCAGTAAGGCTGTGAGATTGGGGCCAGCCACCGGTGTGGGCTGCCGCCTCCCGGAAAACGGGGCGGAGGGGGCGGGAATAGCAAGGTCAGTCTCAGCCGTGGACAGAAAGCAACGCCCACAGGCCACAGCCAATGGGCCAGAGCCCTCGTTCTCTGTGACCTGCACAATCTCCAGCCTTCCTGACCGTTTTCTCGGTGGAAAACGGAATGCCAGTGCCTACAGGTGAGGCTTATTGTGGAGAGGAAGTGGGGGTCACCTCGCACGCCCCTCCCCAGGGGGGTGGCCGAGTCGGACCAGGTTCGTCAAACCCGCTTCCCGCTTTGGGAGCAACTGGTTTCCAACTTAGAGCCTTCAGCAGTGTCCCGGCTGAACAGCTCGCTGGACCGTTTACTACCGAGTTGAAACCTTGAAACCGAGAGAATGTGCTCCAAGCTCTGCCCGAGGCTGAGATGGTGGCTCGGGAGCCAGTCATTATGAGAAAAATGAACCCAAACATGCCCAGCTCCCTGGGAGCAGCCTGTGTGCTGCTCTGAGCCCCTCCAGCCGCGGTGGGATCAGGCCCTCGGTTACTGCCCACACGCCCAGAGGTGGCAGGAGCGGGAGGCCAGCCACTGGGTGCAGCCAGCGCCCGGTCCCCCGCGCAGTGACCGGTCCCCAGCTGACCCCCTGCGGGGGGCCCGGGGCCACAG